TAATAATGGTGTAGTACCTGTGTTGGGTGTGTGTGTGTGTGTGTGTGTGTGTGTGTGTGTGTGTGTGTGTGTGTGTGTGTGTTGGGGCGTATTTACGTATGGTGTATGTGTACGTGTGTGCGTGCGTGTGTGTGGGGGCGTGAGTGCGTGCGTGCGTGCGTGCGTGCGTGCGTGCGTGCGTGCGTATGTGTGTATGTGTGTGTGTGGTATAATGTACGTATGGTATAATGTACGTATGGTATGTGTGTGTGCGTGCGTGTGTTTGTGTGTGCGTGTACTTGTGCGTGTGTGCGTGGTATGGTGTGGGGTGGGTGTGTGGGTACCTACGTGTTTGTGTATGATTGTGTGCGTGACTTTATAAGTAATTTGGCGTGTGTGTGTGCGTGTGCGTGCGAGCGTGCATGTTCATAACCTATCCTTAATTTTAAACATTTGTGTTAGTATATGTCTTATTTTACCTTACCCAGATCATGGCGTTATAATTTACTTTTATGTCTAAGTGTCTCGTAGACCATACCCGGTCGGATGTTATATTTTACTGTGTTTTAGTATGAAGTGTATATAACATGTGACACTATAATAAACAATATTCTCTCTGTGTGTGTATATATATGCTGTATATGTGCTTATAACGAACTACGGTTATTTCGAACTAAATTTAGCGGTCCTTTTAAGTTCGCTATAACAATAGTTTACTGAAATAGAATACCGTACCGGATATTTATATACATTGTCAACTATCTTGTCTCTTCTTGTCATGATCGTCATATCTTTCATCGTATAGTCTTTTTTGCCCGTGGGTGTATAGTCTATAAAGGTAGCATATAACTGATGACACATAGAACATAATCTTTCAGTGGTTTTAAATAATTCTTTAATCTGTATATTATTAATACACGTACAAATTGGGCAAAACCTGAGCAAATTGTTGATAGTATATATATGTACAACATGATGTCACAATGTCAACAAAACATCACAACATGCAAAACGAAAATACGGGTCTGTAGTAGCATATTAGTATGATTATTCTCGACATCGTACTTCAAAAACAGATACAGGTACGCCTGAAGAACGCAAATATGTTCAGTGAGTTAAAACATTGGTGGGGCGGTCGGGTAGCCTAGTGGTTAAAGCGTTCGCTCGTGACGCCGAAGACCCGGGTTCGATTCCCGACATGGGTACAGTGTGTGAAGCCCATTTTCTGGTGTCCCCCGCCGTGATAGTGCTGGAATATTGCTAAAAGCGGCGTAAAAACATACTCACTCACACACTAAAACATTGGTCCTTTCGTTACCCTCAAAAGACAAAGCCTTGTCAACATGTTGCTGTCAAATCGAGTGCATGTTCTCAGAAAATACCCAGCATTAAAGTGTAACTTTATCTAACTTCAAAAAGATTTCTTCTTTGGTTATCAGCAATGAGTTGGCATCAAATATGTTTTCTTTCAACAGTTCCTCACGACAACTAGCTTGCATTGTGTCTGCCATCTGTTAGGGACCCCCAAGTTGATATTCTGGAGGGGCCCAGGATTATTTATGTTAAAAAAAATGCCCCTGAAAATTCGTGAAAATTTAGCTTCAGACTGTTGAAATAAACAAATTGCCTGCCACAAACGTTACATTGTTGCAAGGTGAGGTGAGGTGAGGTGAGGTGAGGCGACGTGCCTGCACATGTGTGTGTGTGTGAATGTGTGTGTGGCTGCTTGTACAAGTCCGGACAAATGCCAATTTTATAGTGCTTTAGTCCAGTAGAAATTGACGTCATAATAAATTAACCCGAACATTTGTGATAACAACCCAATTATTGCACAAAATCAATCTTCAGTGTGTCCTGGTTGTCTATACAAAACCCAAGAAACATCAAGCTTGGGGAAATCAGTTTTTGAGGGTCTCCAAAAAGGGCCTTCGAAATTCGGCTTTGATTTCAGCTAAACGAAAGCAGTTGTTGCAGTTGCCAAGTAAACAAATAGCTGTCAACTGTCAAGCTTCAGTCAGAATAGACCAAAACTACGTATGCATGAATAAACTGGAACAGTCAGTTACCAAATACAGAAACATATTTTGTTGCCATTGTCACCGGCGAAACAATGCCCTGTGACATCAGGGGTCATCGAGTGCGCATAAGCTCCTCCCAGTGATCTATGATCTCTATACGCAATGTCATTAAATACGCCCAGCGATGTTGAGAGTTTTGAATATTTGTTTACTAAATATAGCCTGCGGCGGCGCATTTTATAACAAGCGCTAGTTTATGAAAGCGCTTTTATTTTCAATATATATTTTTTATTTCGTTTTTTTTTCGCAATTCAAGTGGCTAAAATTGTTATAAATGGGAACTAATATACATATAGTATTTTTATGGTTTATTAACTTTCATTATTATGCACAAGAATGCAGTTGATTAGGTATATTGTATTGGCGCTGAACACATCCAAATGTCACCGGTGTTAGGGTAGGTTACCCCGATCTCTGTCCTTAGCCCTTGGATCCCCTTTACGATCAGTCACCCCATTACGAACATTAGGGTTAGGTACCCGTTAGTGGCTATTACATTACCCGGACTCTATCCTTAGCCCTTGGATCCCCTTTACGATCAATCACCCCTTTACGATCATTAGGGTTAGGTGCCCGTTTAGATGCTATTATAGATTCTATAGCGGCTCCTAATATTCTTCACACAACGACGTCGAGTAAAAAGGACGAAGTGGTTTTGTGTCGAATATTTTGGCTACTGGAAACTGTCCTGGAACATTCACACAAGCTACTTTCACCCGCTACATTTTTTTCAGTACTGATTCAAATGCGAACTCCTGTGTCGTCACAAGCCATGCTTATGCCTCCCTCGTTCCTTACTATTATCCACATCATCCTTACAGTGTTCCCTGACACAACTTTCTGTCACAAAAATCACCCGACGAATTATTAAATACCATGTCATTCATGCGTACTCGCGAGTTCGACGTCTGACGTCTAACGCCTGGAGCCGTTTTCAGTTCACGGCATATCAGCTCATTCCTCACCACTCGGTATCTTGTAGATTACGGAATGGGACGAGTGTTCCAAATGACATCGGAATCATTCGTAAGTGTCCGGAACCTATTCGACCCTATTCGTTCAGTTCCGTAACGTCGTAGGCATGATTTGGTAAATTTGCACCTAGTTTCACAGTGTGGACGCTGCTCAGTTGGTTAGCTGTCGGGCTAACAATCGCGAGTGCGCGTCCGACATATTCTCACAAAAACTGGTTGCTTGTCTTTGAGACATGTAACCTTCGGCAGAGATCGTCCTCACAAGAACTTGTGGTTCTGTATTCTATTATTTTTCATAATAATTTGTTTGTAAGGGATCATAACCTAACCGGTACCTCAAGATGTATTATAGCACTTATTTAATTTTGGATACAATAATGTTTTCCCGTTTTGACAACATAAGCTCCCAAATAAAAATATTTTACAAAGTAAAAAAAGGTTTGTATTGGTGCCAAGGTCAAGGTCATAGAAGTGAGATAATGTTTTCTTGAAAACATATTATGAATACGTGTATGTCAAAGAACTTTTGATGAAAATATATTGTTATAGGTTAAAATATTAACTGCAAAGTGACTAATTTAATTATCATTGATAATGGAACGTCCAAATTAATGAATGCAATAATTATAAGGAGATATTTCTCTTCTTTAGTGGTTATTGTATATGTTTGAAGTGTAGATGTAGATCTATGAGATAGAACTTGATAAAACACAAGACATGTACAAAAAGCACACACATTATAAACTATCTTTAATTTTTATCTTATATTGAAATTTTAAATTAAATATGATTATGTCAATGTGACTATTATTGAATTAAAGTGATAATTTGTCTACATGCATTAATTAAGATATGCATTTCTCAGACAATTGGCTTAAAGTTATATTTTCCGTGTCAAAATATGCTTAATATGAAATATTTTTGTTTTTATTTAACTCTTATATTCTTTATTTTATTTTCTATATTTGAAAAAAGAAATATTGTATGTTCTATTTGTCACTGTAGTGCAACATATGTGAAAATATGAAGGTATTGTCTATTAGCCGGATAAATTGATGTGGATGTTTCTATCTGTCTTACACACTTGATTTATACAAGATATAACAACCAGCATTAAAACTGTAATTAAAAATACATTCCTGTCTGTTAATATTCACTTATATCAAAATAAATATCTTGCTATGACAAAATATGCTTAAATAATATATTGTGATGAACCCTTGCTATGTCAAAGTGACTACAGTCTATTTAATCATTGGTTTATGTTACAGTAAACTACGGTTATAACGAACTCAAAGGGACCACTAATTTTAGTTCGTTATAACCGTAGTTCGTTATAAGCATATATACAGCATAACTACAGCAAATTTTAGGGACAAAAAAGTAAGTTCGTTATATCCGTCAGTTCGTTATAAGCGTGTTCGTTATAACCGTAGTTTACTGTATATAAAACAGTGTTTTATAATCCTAGGCTTCCTTTCAAGTGAGTGAGATTTTAATGCCCTTTTGACACGAACATCTGTGCACCGGCTTCCTTGATCGCCGTTGATCAACAGACAGATGTAGCGAAGATGAGATGAAATGAGGATTGACGTCGCGTTCAAGATTGTAGCACATATATTGCACGTCTGTGTGTGCGTTTGTGTGTGTGGCTGCTTGTACTAGTCCGGAGTAATGGCAATTTTATAGTGCTAGCCAACTGAGATATCATGCCGCAGTTAAACATGAATACCCCACTCAGACACAGAAAACTGACTCCGAGCCGACCAGTTCTTGCTTCAGCCTCTTAAATGCCGAGCGCAAGACAGGTACAACAAGTACCATCTTTTAAGATCTGTTGGTATGAAGCGAACCGGGATCGAACCCCCGAGCTATCGTGCTCAGGGCGGACGCTCTACCACGAGACAACGGAGGCGGACAGGTGTAACGTACAAATGTACCATATGAAAACAGAATGCAAATGACAGATATGAAAATTTATTAATAAAATAACTACACACTTCTTTATACCAAAGACATAGTCACAATATGACGTACATGTAACGTTAAGTTGTTGGATCAGCAGATTGCGTGCCATAATTACCATGAAATGTACATGATAAATGTGATTAATAAATGGCGCAGAATGTAAGCTCAGTGTGTGTTTTTACATCGTCAGTTATAACAGGGCGTGTCAGTGTAAGTATATATATATTAACGACATCGGTCTTTGACATAACCACCAAGAATCGACCATAGTCCTGGCTGCTAAGGAAACCAACTGTTCTGTGCTTTTGGTCAACTGTATCATAGGCCCATGCACACACACACACATTACTCGTAGACAAGAGAGACAGCATTGTAAGTAAACGCAAAATGTATTTTACATACATACTGACCACGTATACATAATATATTGTTCTAACTAATGGTTAATTGTCGGTGTATTATCAGTTGGTCGAATCGGGATTGGTCAATCTACTTCTTCCAGTACCTGCTACACTTGACCCTCTGACAGCTGCAGGTGTGGGGGGTGATGATTCTCTCGCGTACAATACGTTGATTGATGGGAAGGGCCTCACAGTACGCCCACACCGATACGTATTTGTAACCACGGAGACATCGGTTTTCGTAGTTGGAGAAAGGCCAGAATTCGTCACAGTTGGCGCATTGTTTGCTTCTAGAGAAATTAAAGAGAGTGAGTAGCATTAATATTCCCGCTATATCATTGTACGGCATCAGAAAAAGGACTCACACATCGCACCTATGTCGGTATTGGAACCCACATCAACCACCAGACTATCCCACCAACCCTTTGACAAATAACCCCTCCGTGGTCTAGTGGTAGAGCGTCCGCCCGGAGAGCGGAAGGTCCGGGGTTCGATCCCCGGCCGCATCATAAGTAAGGATAAGATATATGGATGGACAACTTCTTTATTACAGTAAGGAGCGGCCAGTCGTCTAAGGCGCGTCAAAACGCTGTGCAGAGTTGCGTCCCCTGGTCACACCAGATACCTATGATCTTTGGTTCAAATCCCGGTTCTCCCCGAATATGTTTCTAGTTTTGTCTGCACCATATCCGTGCTTTCACCAAATTAGTAAACGTGTAAGACCTGCATCACGTCGGGTTTTCTTCTCTCATCAAGCTGCCACGCCGTGATATAACCGGAACACTTTCAGTGATATAACTCACTCACTCACTCCAAATGTAACGCATCAGTGACACAAATGTCCGATGAAATTCCCTATTGTCACTTGCACCATATGTTCCCGTGACTTTTCAAGTGAACAATGGACTTTGCATGTTATTTGTGACCAGTGCAACCGATAGAGGGGATACGCCCACCTTTTGACCTGGTGTCATCACTATTTGATAGTGATTAATAAAGTTTTATCGCAGCAATATATCAACAACCCAGACCCCTCAACAAAAAGAAAAAAAGAAAAGAAAAGCAACAACCTCAGGCAAGCAACATACCAAACAAAAACCAACCCAACAAAATGTTACAAATATATTTAACAAATACAAATTAATCCCCAAAATAAATAAAGAAACATTGAATATATGTACGAGTTACTCACAGGCACGTGACAAAAGTGACAACCTCCTGGAAGTTTTGAAGTATCCAACAACGACCGCCATACCTTGCGAACCGCCAGAGTTTGGTCTCCAGGAACTCACATGTCGCATTTGCATTCGCTAAACTGTAACAAAAAGAATTTTTTGGCTGAAATGTTCCCTTTTACTTGGTGTTTATTATTGACATATATAAAACATTATCTCATCCTTTCTTCTCAGTGGAGCCGCCTCCGTGGTCTTGTGGTAGAGCGTCCGCCCGGAGAGCGGAAGGTCCGGGGTTCGATCCCCGGCCGCGTCATACCAAAAGACGTTAAAAGATGGTACTTGTTGTTACCCTGTCTGGCGCTCGACATTAAGGGGCTAAAACAAGGACTGGTCGGCTCGGAGTCAGTATACTGTGTCTGAGTGGGGTATTCATGTTAAACTGCGGCATGGTATCTCAGTGAGCTAGCACTATAAATCGGCATCAGTCCGGACTAGTACAAGCAGCCACAGACACACACGTGCATGCACGTCGCTATATAAGTGCAATAATCTTGGACGCGACGTTAAACCCAATTTCACCTCACCTCACCTTCTTCTCAGTGGTTTAAATGTCATATATACTTAAGTTATATATAGCACAACATGGTCCTTTCAGCTTTTGTACTTGTAAGTTCAAACATATTATAATTACAGATGTGATAATGAGAATGAATTGAATAAATGATTATTAGTACAAAGAAGTGTCCATATACTCTTCGAAGAAATAATTATCTGTGATTTACTGTGTACGGTTTAAGCCGCTTTTAGGATTATTTATATTTTGATGGGGAACACCCAGAATAGGCTTTGAAATTGTAGTCGATCTAGAGAACGCTGAAACCACTAGATAACTCTACTCTCACCAATACAGTGCAATATAAAGCCATCATATAAATGAAATGGTTATAATGCCGCTTTTAACAGTATTCCAGTTATATCACGGCGTGTCAGCTTAATGTGGGAGAAATGCCCGAAGTGACGGGTATGGTGCTGACAAACCTAGAAACATAATCGGGGCGAACGAAAATTCTAACCTACGATCATAGGTCCAAGGGACGCAGAGCGAAATGTGGCTCCTTGGACGACGTGGCCAACCTGCCGCGCCTGTCATATGATCCCGTACGGTGATACCATTATGAACCTCCAGGTCGGAATACAACGCTAAGTCACAGGTATCTTAAAATCCGATTAACATAGGTCTGGGATATTCAGACACTGTGACAAGCTGATAACTGGTAATGGTACCCAATGGTATTCATGGCACGTGTATCGCCATTAGTTTGTCCTGCCAAAACTTGATTTTGCTCAGTGGGAGCAGAGCTGGAATTGTTCTTACCGCGATGGAAAACAACATTCACTCGTTCACGCCTGGCAGTATTACAATATTTGCTATGTAATACTCACACTGGATCTGTAGGAATTGTCGGAGCAGTTGGTAGCACGACTTCAGGTGTCAGGCAACTCAGAAGAACAGGGTTATTTAACAGCGCCGCCGTTATTTCATTGCTGAAAAATATCAAAGTATCGTAAACAGCAGAACAAACGGTGATTATAATAATTCTCGTGCGGGTATGCATAGTCAGACCAAATTATATGAGTATCCATTTACTATGCGACACATTTATTTCTTACGTGTAGCGTTTTTCGTAATAATTTATAACTGAGCATGGACAGTAAATTCAGAATTATTAGAATGATTACGTAATTGTATTTCCTTTAAAGGTGTTCAAATTCAGAGTCGTAAAAAAATAAATCCGTATAACTTTTGAATTATACACGTTCACTTACACTGGGTACCCGGTTGGGTTGCCGGAAAAGGTTGCCACATCCGGGTACTCGGCTTGCTTGGGACAGATACGTTGGTTAAAGCCGAAAATATCCGTGTTGAAGTTGTTGTTGAAAAACTGGGAGGGGTTTGCGTAGTTAGTGACGCCATTGCTGCTGTAGGTATTGGTTGCTGAATATGGTATATTTGGGAAGCCCATTCGGACAATGGTGTCGATGTTTGGAAGTTGTGGGAGCGGCAGTGGCGGAAGGGGAGGGGCGTTGGTAACAGGTAGGTTGAAGGTCGGCAGGGGTATCCCTGCTCCTGTCACTTGAACAACAGCACCACAGCCGACGCTCCACGACGCCAAGATCAAAACGGACAGCATCTTGCAAATCAAATAGCAGTAGAAAATATGAAGAAACATAAATTATATCGATTTCAGGTATTAATCTTCCCATTGTTGGGTTCAATGTTTTGTGTTAGATATTCCACACAAAATGCCTCTGAACACTTTATCAAAGATCATCCTTATTAACACGTTGACGTGGCACTTTGAAAAGCATCTTAGAATTGCTCGGGGAACACAAAATCATGTTTACCGGTGTGTCTACGTTGTAAATCAATGAGAAAATGAAAAAGCAATCTTCGTGGATGCATGTTTGTAACCTGCTCGTAAGTTTGCTTCAGTGAAGGGTTATCCCTTTGTTGGTTTGGTTTGGTTTGTTGTTTAACGCCGAACTCAGCAATATTCCAGCTATATGACGGCGGTCTGTAAATAATCGAGTGTGGACCAGACAATCCAGTGATTGATATCATGAGCATCGATCCACCCAATTGGGATCGATGACATGCATCAACCAAGTCAGCGAGCCTGACCACCCGATCCCGTTAGTCGCCTATTACGACAAGCATAGTTACCTTTTACGGCAAGCATGGGTTGCTGAAGACCTATTCTACCCCGGATCTTCACGAGTCTCCGACAAGCATAGGTTGCTGAAGACCTATTCTACCCCGGATCTTCACGGGTCGACGACAAGCATGGGTTGCTGAAGACCTATTCCACCCCGGACCTTCACGGGTCTCATCCTTTTGTAACATGTTGGAATGGCGACTTGAATATCAAGTTAGACTTGCCCAAGGATTACAAAACACATGTCTACGTGTATGTCTTTGTGTTCATTGGTCAATTCTAATTACTTTTTCCGTCCAATGACTATATACGGAAAAAACGACGTTTTTGTGATTGCAGTGTAAGATGTCATTTCGTCGTGTCGTATACTGGGAGTGTTTTCTCATCTGCTGACAATCAATCGTCAGTATGATGTGGTTCAGCCGAAAACCATTGCCTTAAAGTAAACTGAAGAGCTTAGAGCCATAAGATCTAATATCATGTGGAGTCCGTTTTGAGAAAAGTAATGAAAACCATAACCTTATGCCTGCATTTAATAAAGGACATAAACTGAGGTTTTTAATTTGTGTAAGGGCGGAAAGGGCCAATGTTTGTATTTGCGACTTTCTTTTACCCTCAGGCATTTGCATGGGATTTTACATGTGAGTTTGATAAAACTACTGCTGAAAGTATAAACACATACTAGTGAAGCTCTTTTAAATATTTTAAACTAATGCCAACTTTGTTGAAATAGTTGAAACATAATAATAATTAATGTTTCCAAACTTTCAAAATCGTGAAAAGTTCTAACCCGGATCGCGTATATCGTCACGGGTCAACTACTCAGTTATAACACAGAATATATAACCAAGGAAGGTATAATTTACATATAATCTCCAGTGGTATTTATACAAAGGAATATTCAACAAGTTACTAGGTAGGCTCCTGGATTCGTGTGTGCAAGGAAATACATTTTGTTCATTATTCATAGGTTTAACGAAAATCCGAGGAATTGTTTGAAGCAAGTAGTATTTTGATAATGACAATGACTTTTTTGTGCATATCACACTTTGGGACCGAAACAGAATAATACATATATTTATATCGTAATGAAAGAGCAAATGTTCAGAACGGGTGTGATAAGCAGGAAAGCAGAAAAAGAGTTAACCCATCCTTACCTTAATCACAAACGATGTCCAAGTGCGGCAACAACGATGATATCGTGATTGATTGACATTTGAGAAGTTGCATTTTATAAGGACAGATCTCTATAAAATTATTTCTGGCTGACTTCATATGACCCCGACCAACCATATCGCAGATGTGTTTTGGTCATGATGGGCAATGAAAAGCTGAGAAAGGATAATATAAGATAACGAAATGGCTTTATATGAGGTCATTATGATGGACGGACATGACATCTCACCAGGAGCGGTCAGCTGAGAGATTAGAGCTCGTGGAGAGCGTGATGCTTTATGGAATAATTTCCAATTGACAGTATATCACAGTCTGAATCTCACTTTGTTCATACGCTTTGTATTTCATTTGAGAAAGAAATGTGAATAAACCGCCGGGAAAAATAAAGCATATATCAAGCTTAATGGTCGCTAAAAGAGAGACAAAAAATAAATTGTTTGTCGACGTTGATGTATTTGTTACGCGTATAATAGTTGTGTTTCGGCCTTACGTTTGCAGCGTTCTGGCGACTGGTTTCAAACGTGTAACGTTTCGATACACTTTGAAATCCAATTTGCAAGTGTATACTTTCTTTTGCCTGGCGTTTTATGTTCAACGAAGGGCAATGTAAAATAAAAGTCGTGTTTCGTCTTGTCAAATTGACAAATTTAGAATTGAAGAAATCCATACCTTTAGAAAATGTTATGAAGTATATATGTGACTTAAAAGTACACATTATGTATGTTTAAAGTTCAAATGAGTTTGCCGTATGTGAGAACTACATCGCGTCACAATGAATGAATTTAGACCTAATCATATTTTTCTACTGACCGTGGGTAGTTTGGTAAAACAACCATATGAATTCACATAATGTTACTGACTGAGTCACAATAATATTTGCAATAAGTTTAACCATAACAAGTTGATCATGTTACAAGACATACGATTTGGTGTCATTTATTGGGGTAAATACTGTTCCGTACATTGAAACAATTATACATATGGCCTTAAGGGTTTTTGACTGGTAATAGCTGTAGATATTTTATCAAGGGAAGATTGATTGAGATAAGATCATTCGTCTCTGTTCAACATGATGCACGATGCAATCCCATGTTATGACCTTTACATACCTCCTTACACACTGACATATACACGACAAGTGTGTAGTGGTGGGACAATCGGCAGAGCAGGGCAAGCCTACCCTTTTTTCAAACACCTGATGTCATCACTGAATTTCAGTTACCTATTCATATCATATTCATCACTATTTTGTGTTTCGGCAGATATACGTGACTTGTATCAATCGTCAGGAAAGCTTAAAAAAACATGGTAGACATTTTCTCGTGATTCTTCAACAAAAAAATTGACTTGCCCTTGCATGTGTTTGAAATAGTTGCCACTGTTGGGTCAGGAAACGCACACTTTTCGCGAACACCAGGTATCATCAGTATTTAATAGGGATTTAAAAACACATTCTCATGACATGAGTCGAATCGAAATTAACACAGATTTTAGCAGAGATTTTAAACAAATATGGAAATGATTTTATTCATATTTTCTTTTTCACATCGATCTAAGATCACAAGCACAGACTAAACAGCTCTATATGTAAAGAAACTTCAGTGAAAACAGCTTCAGCAATCACCATTATAAGGCAGGCTCAACGGACGAGTTTATTGTATCGATCTAACAGTCAATCCGTCATAACAAATTTTCCAAGAACGGAAAAGCGTGTATTCGTAACAAATACTATTTTCACGAATACACGATTTTGAGGTCATCTTTTTACACGAATAATCCAACGCTTACGAGAAGTCAACGCGCAAACACACCCAACTACACCTGTGTCGAAATGTTACAGGCGGTTGCACGTGCAGTTCGATATGTCGCTGGTACAAAACTTGATGGGCGTGGTGAATGAATCGTAAACAACGGAATAATTCATTTTGATGGGGCGTTCCAGCTATTTGGCTGAAATTGTTCGTGGGAAATAACACACCGTTAGGACAATTGAGTGACGTCACAAGAATTCTGGACATGCGCACAGGACTGTGGAACAAAGGTCTATTTTATAAGGAATATATGTACAAGCAGGAAGGCACCGAAGCATGCAGCCATGATCTATCCCATCTCATCCCCCTACTCAACCCTACAAATACCTCCACGACATAAGCCAAATGGTAGATGCATGCGGTAGCCGTATCTCTGTCCTGCTCCTTAGCTTATAAACGATTTTGATATTGACTTGTCGCCATCGCAGCTAACCTGATGTGTGGGTACATGGTTATGTAACTACATGTCATTCATTGTTGACAGATATTGCAAACAATTTAAATGTAAGCAACACCAGATTGTACAAAATGGCAATATTGTCTCTACATGTCATTCACTGTTGACAGATATTGCAAACAATTTAAATATAAGCAACACCAGATTGTAAATAATGGTAATATTTATCTCAAACAAACAAAGGCATTACTCGTGGTGAGACATGAACATGTCTAGATATACTCCTGGATAATATTAGCTGAAAACGATTTATTAGAGCCCTTATCAATAATCTGCTTTTTGTGATCCAACGGGTACTCTCTTGTTGAAGATTAATAATAGAATACCTACACTCAGAACCTCGGGAGAATTGATGTTTGCGACAAGACCTTCAACAGCAAGATAGTTGAGGAAAGCATGGACTGCTGCCCGCCAGTATGTATTGTCTATATTATTTTGTTGATTATTCGTATAATAATTCAAGCTGCTTCGAAGAAATGTTTGTTTCGTGAGAAAGTGAGTCCAGATAGCCCTATACACATGTTCCAGGAAGCGTTAAATATACTTTTACAAAATATTGTCCTGATGCCTTTTGGCATTGGTGCTATTTATTCTAGATGTGTGCTGATATTGTTCAACAATAATCTAAAACTTTATAAAAATCGACATATTGAGTAGTACAGAGTACTAGTACAAAGAACACGTATATATTTTTGATTAGGGGTTACACAAACGTATTGAATACAATTGTAAGGTACACAGTAAAGACGTTTTAATTAACTGTCACTCCTTTTATTCTATTTATTTTTAATTAAAATGATGTTGGTAATTATATGGTCCAGCATAACCTTTACAAATAATATGGCCTAATGTCTGCCCTCGATGCGCCTCGAACCGGAGATATCTTGGTTCCTGAGTCTTTAGCGTATTTCTGGTTCTGTTTCCAAAAAGAATCCGTGAAGATCCGGGGTAGAATAGGTCTTCAGCAAACCATGGGCCACGTTTGCCGTAAAAGGCGACGATGCTTGTCGTAAGGGGCGACTAACAGGACCGGGTGGTCAGCCTCGGTGACTTGGTTGACGCATGTCATCGATCCCAATTCCGCTGTCAGCTGGTAAATTGCTGAGTGCCGCGTTAAACAACAAACAAACAACGTTTGAAGTGAATAACATTATTAGAATTAGCATAGAACCATCAATAGTCTGGCTATCTCCAGACTTGGGATATGAATGAAAGCAAAAGGAGGAAACTACAGGAGGTTTATTGTGTTTGTTTTCAACAATTTATATTTCGACATCTATTCAGCACAACCTCTACAAGGAACTTCGAATACTTATGCATGCATATCTCCTCTCCCCACGTCACGAGATGGGAGAAACATGATATTTCACTCGACACATGAAATATCCTCTATAACTTCACTTAAAACTCATTCACGTGTGAATATTTGACACACTTTATTACTGAACTGAATCAACTTCAGTTGATTAACTTTTTCACGAGACGAATAAACAATCCTGAATATTTATTTATACTTTTTGTTTAGTTGTCTGCAGGAAGATTAAATTATTTCATTACAAATGTAAAACCTTCAAGCGTAAATTCTCCCTACATAACACACATGGACGGTTTACCACCCCCTGTAAGTACGACTTATTATGTAGTTCCGTCTTTGCTAAATCTTAAAATATATTAACAAAAGTAACCAACAATATTTGATGTCACTAAAATTCTTTAGTATACATTTGGATGTGATTATATACAGAATCAACTTTATCAAAAAAAATCAAATCAAAGAATACACGCAAGTCAAGTAACAAAATGGCGCTTTGCAAAACGAAAAGTATCGACTGACAAATTAGATGAGAAATTTACAGTTTATTACGAATCATTTTCAACAAAATAACAAACGGTAAGAATCGGTATTAACTACATAAATGACCATCTGTCATTATATGACTTGTCAACGTTGAACTGCCGTAAATCAACAGTTTGTGTACGAGCTGTCTCGTGTAGGCCAACATGCTTCGTCGGTCACAAGATCAATATGTACTTTACACAAGCCTAGTCGGTCGGCTGATCATTGCGGCTTCGCTTAGCAATAGCTTGGTCATTACTTGAAAAAACAAATGCACTTGGAGGGATACAGATATTGATATTTCCAGTGATTGTATTATTTGACATTATAATATGACATTTTTGCTAAATATCACCACAATTTGGTATAATTATCATGTGTACATATATACATTTTTATTATTATGATAGGAAAAAAATGTAATGTGAGCTTATGTTTAAGTATAAGTAATGTTTATATTTATCATGTTTATAGGGCCTTTTTTCCATTGAATGTACCTGATACGTCCATGATCTGATTAGGAGAAACACCTTCATCCACCAGTTTCTGTACAAGGTGCTTTCTCATGCTGAAAAGTAACACATATAGTTATTATTATAATTATAATTATGATATAATTGTTATTTTCTTATCAATTATAATATTCTGGGAAGAAATAACTTAATATGGTAGATTTTTATACATATTCAAATTATTAGCCATTTGATTAATGGTCAATGAAAGAAAATTGACACAAAAGTTAAATGATTTTATTGCCCATAACATTTTTGAATAGTAATATAATATCACCTGTATGGTGTGATCCGTTTGTCTTGAGCAAGTTTGGCTCCGTCCTTCATTTCATTCATTATGCTGAACAATTTATTTAAGCCCAGTGCAGAGCTTTGTACCAGGGTGAACTGCCTTTCCTCCATGGTTGATGGCGAAGAAAAAAGGACTGACTGGTTGAAGCATTGAAGCAGGACGATTTTCCCGATACATCTTGTTCCAGGCCACTGGATCCCTGTCAGGTTCTTCTGGAATGCTGTATGCACGGGGCTTCCTGTGGATGTCATTAGGATTGGCTCCCGTACGTGTCTTGGACTGACCCTCTGAGGTAAATATTAAATATTCCCCCTGATCCCCTTCCCTCAGTACCACCAAATGTAATGGAATGTAATAGGCTGGAACGATTTGCTAGGCCAAGAGTTCCAGCTTCGTACATGGCATCCAAGTCCCTGTCTGTTAGCTCATCAGCAGCTCTTGGTTTGTTCCCTTTCCCTTGCGCCTTCAAATCCTTAGATTTAGCCTTCATAATTTCTCTCAGTTTTCCAAATTTCTCACCATTAATCAAACTATGACCATATGATTTTGATTTAAGATGTCGCTCAAAGGAGGAGAGAAAGTTTCTCAGTGAGGAAGGCTCATTCTCCGATTCATCGTTCTTTCTAACAGTGATGAAGAACATGTTGAGATAATCTTTAAGGACAGGTGACTCAATCTCTTCTATAGCCCTAACCTCACCTTCCTGCGCCAGGAACTGCTTTAAAAGATTCAGGTCGTACAAGTTTTTTTTTCTTTGTGTTTTCATTTGCATGTTCTTCAAGATATTTATCGACATCACCAGTACTTATCTTTGAAAATCTGTGAGTCTTATTTTGCTGGACATACTGGATAGGTTCAATTTGTTCCTGGATAGATTTTGTTTGTTGCTGGATAAGTTCTGTTTGTTCAAGAAATCTAAAGTCCCAATCTGCCAGTAAAACATCGATTTCACTCATTTTGAGTGTGTCCATGTTTTATTAGCAGAAGACACTTGCGAATAATAGGAGATAATTTTCAGGGGAGGTTACTCTTGTAAGAAAATAGTTCCGTCAACGTGTTATGTTCACTGCAGTGAAATATCAAGTGTTATGTTCACTGCAATGAAAATATCACTTTTCTCATCTTCAGAAAACTCAGTCCTTCACACTGAAGTATGTAATGAAATATATTTTGTTTATTTTGTAGAAGCAGGAATAATATATTTACAATTCTTTTCATATGAATATGGTTCTTTTAGTATGAGTTGCTTAAGCTAAGCTGCTGTACAACAAAACGTTCGACACACACAAACACAAACGTGCTAAAAAAACCTGATTCTTGATCATGAAATCGCTCAGCGCGTTTAACACCGGGAAGGGAAATCCCCTCGGTGGCGGAATTTTTCGTTTGGGGGACGACTTCGCCTGTAAGTGTTTGTTGTCTGTTTTACCCTGTTTACATTTTTCAAGCTTAAGTTTGGTCAAGGATTTGTGATAATTATGCCCTAAAGTTTTAAAATCGACAGTTGCTATGTTGAGTTAACTTGCCCTTTAAACACTGCATAAAAAGTAACTGGATTTGCAATCAGTGGATTTAACCATGCATATTGCCCCCCAAAAATGAGTACATAATACTACATGAACATGAACAGTTCTTGACACATTGTTTTTACATTCGTGAAATAAAATATTATATGCTGGCGCTAATCTTGTCAATATTGTCTCTTTTCCACCAAACTGCAGGGAATCTACAGTTATCCATATGTAAGATGTGTGTACATGTAGAACGCATTTACAGTATGCACACTAGGGTATAAAAGTTAAAAACACAGACTGTGGCGAAGAAGACCCGATCGTTGAAAGTGTGCAGCGCGTCAAACACCGTGATTACGTTTTAAAACGAAACTCTCGCCTGTCCTTTTCCAACAGTCTCTTTTACCCTATTCCCCTTTTTCAGTCTACGTTAACATTGGCTAGGAATGCCTTCGAAATATGTTGTGGTGAAAGCCTGGATATCCAATTGCAAGGAAACGAAAAATTCATTTTGGGGTTTCACTTTCTTCAACGTTTTGCTATTATTACATCCTTAATCTGAGATACTGTACAAAGTGAAATTGAAACCAATCTTAATGTAAAAAAAGACAGTTGTAATATGTCAATACCTGTCAATATCTGTGTCGTTAGGAAAAATAATTCATGCACGTGTATCTATATGAACATGAACAGTTCTTGACACATTGTTTTTACATTCGTAAAATAAAATATTATATGCTGGCGCTAATCTTGTCAATAGTGTCTCTTTTCCACCACACTGCAGGGAATCTACAGTTATCCATATGTAAGATGTGTGTACATGTAGAACGCATTTACAGTATGCACACTAGGGTATAAAAGTTAAAAACACAGACTGTGGCGAAGAAGACCCGATCGTTGAAAGTGTGCAGCGCGTCAAACACCGTGATTACGTTTTAAAACGAAACTCTCGCCTGTCCTTTTCCAACAGTCTCTTTTACCCTATTCCCGTTTTTCAGTCTACGTTAACATTGGCTAGGAATGCCTTCGAAATATGTTGTGGTGAAAGCCTGGATATCCAATTGCAAGGAAACGAAAAATTCATTTTGGGGTTTCACTTTCTTCAACGTTTTGCTATTATTACATCCTTAATCTGAGATACTGTACAAAGTGAAATTGAAACCAATCTTAATGTAAAAAAAGACAGTTGTAATATGTCAATACCTGTCAATATCTGTGTCGTTAGGAAAAATAATTCATGCACGTGTATCTATATGAACATATTTTGACTAAACGCAGTGGCCAGCAACAGATGGGCTTGTATCACGATAGCAATGTAGTAATCGTGTGGTCAGTAGAAAGAATACCAGCAATGACTATGATTAAGATTTGACAAACATTCGTGAAGAAGTTGATAGATGTAACCACGGCTTTAAATAATCTTTTTGATCATGTCCGTGGATCAAAGAAACGTAATTCTGGGATCTATTAAGTAGGAGACGACTAAAGGAGGCATCAATAAACTCTTAAACATTGATAAGTATAACTAGTAACTTGGTTGTGAGTGAAGACATGCTAACATCAGACGAGGATGAATCCCCTGAATAGGTCCCTGGTGAAGAAAAGTTCACTGTTAAAAACCTCTCAAATTGCAAAATCTGCATTCATATCATGAAGCCACATGATCTGCCAGATCTTAATGCCCGGTTGCGTTGGTGAGGTGAGGTGAAATTGGGTTTAACGTCGCGTCCAAGATTATTGCACTTATATAGCGACGTGCATGCACGTGTATGTGTGTGTGTGGCTGCTTGTACTAGACCGGACTGATGCCGATTTATAGTGCTAGCTCACTGAGATACCATGCCGCAGTTTAACATGAATACCCCACTCAGACACAGTATATTGACTCCGAGCCGACCAGTCCTTGTTTTAGCCCCTTAATGCCGAGCACCAGACAGGGTAACAACCAGTACAATCTTTTAACGTCTTTTTGTATGACGCGGCCCTGGATCGAACCCTGGACCTTCCGCTCTCCGGGCGGACGCTCTACCACAAGACCACGAAGGCGGTCTCCGGTTGCGTTGGCATCCGATTGTTCTTGACTGCGTCATTAATTGTAATTATGTATTTAAAATTACATTCTTTCATCAAGCTCACATGTACTTGTCTAGACATGGTAGCATCTCTGATTTCCAGTGATCCATTCATGTATTTATGACTGCTTATTATATAAAAACCATTTGAAACGTTTTTGTGAACGTATTGTGTATTGCTTCAAGCTTGATAAACGTTCTAAAGATATCACTCATTCGTGCAAGAACAGAACGCGATCACCCTTCTGATAGATGCGTGGTAGGTGGATCCGGATAGTAGAAGTACTCAAGCTAGACATTTCGCTTCGTTCCCAGTTGAGACTCCTTTGTGAAATATGTACATGCATTCACAGCCCTTTGAGTACGTTGCGTGGGTTTCTTTTGTCGTTGATATATATCTGCACTGGCAGAGCATTTCTGGTCGAGTACAGTTTATATTTGCGGATGGGTATTTAATGGTGATGCTACACTTGTTGATATTACTTAACCTCCCACGTGCATGTACCTAGTAGAATAATTATGTTTGGGCAGATAATTGAGACTGATAATTATCTGGCGTTGACTTTTTAGAATGAATGAATGAATGAATGAATGAATGAATGAATGAATGTATGAATGAAAAAAATAGATAATTTATATAGATACCAGATAAATCGTGTGTTCACATAAATTTATGTCAGTTCTTTATCGGGGCGGTCGGGTAGCCTAGTGGTTAAAGCGTTCGCTCGTCACGCCGAAGACCCGGGTTCGATTCCCGACATGGGTGCAATGTGTGAAGCCCATTTCTGGTGTCCCCCGCCGTGATATTGCTGCAATGTTGCGGAAAGCGTCACGTAAAATCAAACTCACTCACTCAGTTCTGTATCTGGGATGGAGATTCAAATAGAAACGTATATCATGCATGAACGACACAAACATAAAGTCTAGATACATGTATGCACATAGTAATAACCCATGTGATCAGCCTGAATCATGCATGTAGCGTAGACGCGTAGCCCGAAATCTCTGCATGACAAATACCTGTATATGTTTTGAGGAAAGCTTAATCCTTTATGACAAATTTAGATGACTTTTAAAGAGACAAATGAACGTACATGAATTCCCATACTCCATTCAGAATTCCCTTCTGATGTAATTAAATAAGAGCGGCAAAACCCTTTCCATGACCATACGAAATATCTGCAAAACGCAGTCCACTGTACTATTTCGACGATATCACAAGGACGTGTTTATGAATCACTATCACTCAAATAATGATGCTATCAATGTTCGCCAAAAGTTTAGCAAATCCTGCACCACCAGTGTAACCCGTCACACTATAAAACAAGCCAATTATTCACATGAAAAGAGAAGGGAGCATTTGGCACAAGTCAAAATAGGAAATTGCATAGGATATATTTGTCGCTGTTGTAAGGAATTTGGAAATGTCCTCCATATGTCAACCATAAAACTTTCTGAAACCTTAAGTTAGGCCTTAAGTGTCGTAACCCTGATCAAACAACTTGAGCAAGAGTCCGATGACACCCGTCGTTTACCTCAAAAGGTGTGAAATGTACACGCCAAAGGTTGACGTTGCTGGAATATTGCTTGACATAATGGGAATGCTGACTATTGCAAAATTGAGTCATCCCTCTTTTCATTAGCATTGTGTAGAGTATTTGTGTCACCCTCCATGTTTATGCATAGATCTAAATATAAAGCACATTGTCACTGGCCGGTTTTATTTTTTAGTTTGGGTGGGTAAATCAGATGAAGGGAATTGGCTATTTGACCTCAATTGAACAATATCAGATCATCTGAAGCTAATAATAAATAACACGCCTTGGCCACGTTCCCTTGTTTTGATTTAGCCAATCCTAGCAGAATTCCAAATTGAAAAATTCTTACTCTAAAACTCATTTTAAAAATAAATGTAGATTTTTAAACATAACTGAATTTGACTTGAATAATTGTATTGCAGACTGAGTCCAATAACTTGGAAGTTGTGCCATGTATTTATTGTAACTGTATTGTATTTATTGTAACTGTGATCGTCGACGAATAAATAAACATTATCTCACCGCACCGAAAATATTAGCTTCTGATTGGTTAAGGAGCAAGCAATTACTTTCCATGTAGCCCGCTTATTACCCCGCTGAGAAATCAATCGAAATACACCTTAGGTAACTTGACTATCTCGCTTAAGTTTCGTCGAGCTGAAATGAACCAATCTTCTTCCGAATGCGGGACACGGGTGGCTCAGTCGTCTGAGGCGCCGCGATTCGCTGTGCAGAGTTGCGTCCCTTGGGCACGCCAGAAACCTATGATTGTGGGTTCGAATCCCGATTCGCCCCGATTATGTTTCTAGGTTTGCCAGCACCATACCCGTGCTCGTGGGTTTCGCCGAAGTGGTAAACGTCTGAGACCTGCATCACTTCGGGCTTTCCTCCCACATTAAGCTGACACACCGTGATATAACTGGAACACTGTTTCAACGTTGTCTTCCAGCTGTCAAAATGGCTGAACAAAATCATTTTACTCAGTGAAACTTCAGACATATATGCCGGGCCTGTATGCATGAATGTCGGTGAGAGAAATTCATTGTCAGCCGACCCCTAGGGGCATATGGTGTGAGGAACCCTGTGTGTGAGCCTGAAGGCTCAGGGTACATATGCTCACACACAGGGTACAGCAAACAATATATCCCTTGAGATCGGTTGACAACTTATAATGTCTCAATTTTTCTACCAAGTAGCATCAATTGTACTGATGCAACACACCGTAAAAGGGTAAGTGGCCCACGTCGCCCTCATCAACTTGGCAGGTTCAATGACCCCATGGTTTGATGGCTTTTTATATATCCCAATAGTTGTGCCATGTATTTATTGTAACTGTATTGTATTTATGTTGTGACTGTGATCGTCGACCAATAAATAAACATTATCTCACCGCACCGAAAATATTAGCTTCTGATTGGTTAAGGAGCAAGCAATTACTTTCCATGCAGCCCGCTTATTACCCCGCTAACGGAATCGGTTGGTCAGGTTCGCTGACTTGCTTGATGCATGTCAACGTATCCGAATTGCGTAGATCCATGCTCATGATGTCAATCACGGGATTGTCTTGTCCAGACTCGATTATTTACAGATCGCCGCCACAAAGCTGGAATATTGCTGAGTGCGGCGTTAAACAACAAACAAGCTGTTATCACATCTAATACGGTTGTTTGAGCACAAAATATAGAATGATAATAACAGAGCATGTCTCATTTGCGTAATCAAATATGCAATATATTCATCAAAGGTAAAAACATTACGACTACACATTATGTTTCAACATTTTATTCATGCATGATTTATGTTGTACATAGAGGACCGTTCGAATTGTATGTAATGTAGCAAAAGAAAAAATATATTTATATAAAAATATTGAGCTGGTTATAATTAGATTTTCGTGTATGAAAATAAAAATAATAATACTTAAAAACTAAGGAGTTACATGTTTGTGTAACACAAGGTTGGTGAAAGCAATGTATTATAAACTAACATATATCTTTAATGACATGAGTGAGTATTGCTTCAAAGTTGATACAATCTAAATACATTTCATATTCTTGCAAGAGCAGAACTTAGGAACTCGAACGGCTTCCTGCCTGATACGTAGGTTGGGGACCTGAAAGTTGTCGCAGTAGACCCAGACGTAGAGAGTATCAAACTGCTCCATGCACATGTTCCTGGCGTAGAAGGAGCTGTCGTAGTGGTTGCTGCAGTAGTTGTTGCTGAAGTAAACAAGGTAACAGGTCAGACTTCGATTTGAGTGAGTGAGTACGGTTTTACGCGCATTTAAGCAATATACCAGCAATATCACGGCGGGGGACACCAGAAATGGCTTCAGCGTGACGAACGAACGCTTTAACCACTAGGCTACCCGACCGCCCCGACCGCCCCGACTTCGATTTGAAGTCAAGTGAACTATGTAATAAAGCAATACATAGTTAAACAACAGGCAAGGAATACTAAGCTAAGTGGATCGCAAGCCAACACCAAAACTAATACCACCAAGGATAAGACCCGTGAAGATCCAGGGTAGAATAGATCTTCAGCAACCCATGCTTGCTGTAAAAGGCGACTATGCTTGTCGTAAGAGGCGACCAACGGGATCGGGTGGTCAGGCTGGCTGACTTGGTTGATGCATGTCATCGATCCCAATTGCGTGGATCGATGCTCATGATATTAATCACTGGATTGTCTTGTCTAGACTCGATTATATACAGACCGCCGTCATATAGCTGGAATATTGCTGAGTGCGGCGAAAAACAACCAACCAACCAACCAACCAGGGATAAGTGATGACAAATACACTTACGAGCAGTAGCCATAGTCAATTTCCTGCAAGTCAGACAGAACCCAGCAGCGTCCTTCATATCTGGCGAAACTCCTCATCCTCTTCCTTGTGGTTGGGCAGGAAAAACTGTTGTCACTATGGGAACAAAAGTAAAATATATTCAACTACATGTATATAAAACTCCATGTATGATGTCACGAGGGACCAAGGAAAACGAAACAAATGTGATTCCTGGAAATATTTACCTTCATTATTATTCATTCAGAAGAATTTTCGCGAACACTGTATTTAAGTGATCCTTTTATATACTTTTCACAGCTTTATTGCCTTTGACGCCCAATGAAATCTGTTTCGGCGGAAGATCGATACTGGCTATTCTCTGGTGTTGACGTTTTATATAGATATTTGAAAGGGCTCAATTAAGGCGTTTCTTCGTTTCGTTACATAAGGGACATTGTCTTAACCATTGTTCTTCACTGTAGTAAATAAGACGTGCCACTATCATCCGTATTGCATAAAGTCTGTTGTATAGCGCTATATGTTCTATAGGATAAGTTATGACAAAAAAAAGTTTCTTGTTTTACTCCGCATTTAGCAATATTCCAGCTATATGACGACTGCCTGTAAATAATCAAATTAGGACCAGACAATCAAGTGATTGATATTGTGAGTGCGGCGTTAAACAAACAAACAAACAAACAAACAAACGTCAGTAATTCACATCATACTTACACTGCATAGACCCCATCAGTAACTTCCGTGAGCGCTGGGGGAAGGTAGAAAGCTAGGTCTGGACGCTGAGATCTCTCCAGGTTGATAGCGTCACTGAAATATATTAGGTACCATAAAAAAGGGTTATTATGGCAAGATTTCGAGAGTAAGAGAATGCTGTTTAACGATCCGCATGTCACGGCTGCTTGTACAATTCACAAATCATTGAATGAAAACGTGCACGGATTTACATGCAATTGGGACACGATGACACTGTCAGTCAAGTCAGCCAGCATGACCTTCAGATCCACTTTATTCGCAATGGGGTGCTGGGATCTTTAGACGTCGAGATCTTTCCATAGTGACACGATTACTAAATTCTATGAGTAGCATACAAATGGTGAGGTGAGGTGAAATGGGGTTAAACGTCGCGTCCAAGATTATTGCACGTATATAGCGACTTGCATGCGCGTGTGTGTGTGGCTGCTTGTACTAGTCCGGACTGATGCCGATTTATAGTGCTAGCCCACTGAGATGCCATGCCGCAGTTAAACAGCAGTTTAACATGAATGCCCCACTCAGACACAGTCACAGCCCGAGCCGACCAGTCCTTGTTTTAGCCCCTTAATGACGAGCGCCAGACAGGGTAACAACAGGTACCTCTTTTTAACGTCTTTTGGTATGACGCGGCCGGTGATCGAACCCCGGACCTTCCGCTCTCCGGGCGGACGCTCTACCACTAGACCACGGAGGCGGTCAGCATACAAATGTGGACATGATAAATGTTAACAGGAACACAAATGCAATGCATACTGTTATAACGAACACGTTTATAAAGAACTGACGGGTTATAACAAACGTATTTTATGGTCCCGAACATTTGTTATATTTATGTTGTACATATGCTTCTAACGAACTACGGATATAACGAGCTAAAATAAGTGGTCCCTTTGAGTTCGTTATAACCGTAGTTTGAACAATGTGAGCCTTCAACGTAGACGAATAATTCCATTTAATTATTACATATTCAGCATTGTCTTACGTTTTCACAAATATGGAATACACCAGAGTTTACTGAGGCTCTTGAAATGCCGAATGTATCGTAGCCATCCAGCAATTACTTCCCAGTGGGAAACACCAGAAATGGCCTTTACACATTGTAGCCATGTTGGAAATCAAACGTGGCCTCTTAACTAACGCTTCACCACTATTCTATCCCACCTTGAAAACCACATGCGAAATGATGACGAATAAATGCGAAACATTGGAAAACGGCTCTACAAGTAGCATTAACTGAAGGGGGCGTTATGACATGACAAAAATCATGCTGTGGGGCGGTGGGGTAGGCTAGTAGTTATTAAATCGTTTGCTCGTTAAGCCAAAGACCCGGGTTCATACCCGATATGGGTGTGGCCCATGTTTTGTGTCCACCGCCGTGATATTGCTGGAATATTTCACAAAGGCGGCGTAAAAACATGTCCACTCACTCACTTGCGGGGTGTTCGACGCTTTACGAGCTGTACACCACCAGACCGAAGGAAAGTAAAATCCCCGCCAGTGACACACGTATCGAATTCATCATTACGAGTTCACAAGTACATTTAGTTTCCGTGAAATATTAGTGTATGACAATTATATCTATCCTGCAACTGCCATCGGGCTTTTAGCGGTTCAGTTGTGCTAAAAATTATGACGTCATGACATCCGTAGAGGCTGGCCAATCGACAACAAGACGTTGACATGCCAACTTGGGGAGTGAGTGAGTGAATATGGTTTTACGCCGCCTTTAGAAATATTCCAGCAATATCACGGCGGGGACACCAGAAATGGGCTTGACACATTGTACCCATGTCGGGAATCGAACCCGGGTCTTCGGCGTCACGAGCGATCCCTTTAACCACTAGGCTACCCGACCGCCCCTACGTGCCAACTAAACTGCTGGATGACTGAACGAGTTGTAATGAAACCTCTTACAAGGGATATCCTTCAGCACTGTCAGACAGAGGGCCGAGTTCTACGCTGAGGTTGTACGGCTTGACACACTTGTGGTTGGCAGGCAGAAAGTGTCTATCAAGCTGGTCGTAGATCCCTCCTTGGGGGTTGAAGGGGTTGATGGGGTTGATGGGGGTTTGAAATGAGGGATTGTGAAAGGGGAAATTTGGAGGCAAATTGAAAGGGAGATTTGGTATTTGGACACCGAATTGTTGCCCCTGATGATCCGCCTGGCGTTTTGCGATAACGTGGTTATTTAACGCTGCACCCAGACAGGAGGAAATGCCGAGGGCAATAATAATGATCTGAAAATGAAAAAAAATAAGGTAAGTAAATTAAAAACAATAAAACTAATCACTGTCAGCGTATTCGTAATCCTGACGATGAAATACTGTACGACATTGGGTACAAGTCATGATATGTTGTATTTGTCAGGATACACTACTTCAAACTTTTGACTTGGCTTTGCATGTGTTTGTGACCGGTGCCGCAGGTGGGACAGGATACGCACACCTTTTCGCAATCATCTGGTATCATTACCACTTCACGTTTTTTCATAAACATAATGTCATGCTTATAATGTCATGATCAAAATCGTACAATTTCTTATGATTATGGAAGGGGTACGGGTGGCCCAGTCGTCTAAGGCGCCGTGATTCGCTCTGGAGAGTTGCGTCCCTTCTAGCACGCCATAAACCTATGATTGTGGGTTCGAATCCCTGTTCGCCTCGATTATGTTTCTAAGTTTGTCAGCACCATTCCCGTGCTCGTGGGTTTCACCAAAGTGGTAAACGTCTGAAACATACATCACTTCAGACTTTCCTCCCACATTAAGCTGACACGCCGTGATATAACTGGGACACTGTTTAAAGCGGCGTTAAACCCAACTCACTCACTATGATTATGGAAATAGTATTGTCACTGTTATTTAGCAGGGTTCATTTTCCGTACTGCTCACAGATCCCATAAGAAATAGAAATGTGTGGTAGTCAAAGTTATATGACATACTTCATAAACCTATTACAACCAGTCTTGCACACTGTCCCAAATAGTTATCTATGGTAAAAAATAAACTATTCAAATCATTATGCTATTTGCTGCAATAATGGATTTTTTAGATGTACTTATGTAGACCCTGCAACGTTGTTGTGCTATGAACATGTGCCAGACATATTTAGCACTAAGTACAGAAAGTACATTTCCAAAATGTCAGCATAATTATGTAGAACGTATACATGTTCACGAAATGTACTGAATATAGCATTTGGTAACATTCCGTAGTTATCCCGTCCCTTTCAGTCGACACGAGGCACGTTCGTTTACAGTGACATAACAAATTAATGAACACAGAAACGTGTCCGGCAACACTTCTAGTCCCTTGGACATGGCAAAACCCTACGATTGTGGGTTCGAATCCCGGTAATCATCTGAGACCTGCATCATTTCGGGCTCTCCTCCCACATTAAGCTGACACGCCGTGATATACCAGTAACTAGAATACTGTTTAAAGCGGTGTTAAAACCAAACTCACTCACTCTCATATAGTAAACCTACGTGTCGAGTTACATGCATGGTACATGTACCTATTGATACAACGCTATATTCAATCTTCATTCTATCGTATCCAATAAAAGGCGGGCCTATAGTCTGGAACAAAGCCCATAAGATCCGAATGAGGGAAGACCTGAGCTTTCACCTTTCTTCTTCTCAAAAAGTCAGTTTTGTTCATTTGAATATTTTCATATAGTATTTTGTAAAGAATGATTTAACATCTCAATCACTTAGAATCTTCTTCGGGCTATTGTCCATTTCTTACGTGATACAATGCTACATAATTTCTGCTTCTGTTATACATGTGTCAAGTATACACATATTAACATCATCTAATGGCAAATGGTCATGGACAATTTCGTCATTGATATTTACATGAGCATCAACATTGGCAAATAAGTTCTTAAAATGATTAAACCACTCAGGATTCATTGCCGATATTGGACTGATTATTAGATTCCTGAAATATTTCTCACTCCTTTCCAAAATCTAGCTGAGTCTTTAACTGACAGTTTACGCTTTGTTCGTTTGGTTCTCTGATTTCGTTTATCTATCTGCACATACATTATGTATGCCCACATACATTTTTTATACATTTCTTATATGGCAGTAGATACGTTTATGTACATCTGTTTTATTACGTCTGAATCGTCGTAGGCATTTTTGGCTTCTTGGTTTGCTTTTTATGTAAACATATGTATAAAGGATTATTTATGCACCTAACCTAAATAGCACAAGAAATGTGCTATTTAGGTTAGGTGCATACAATATTATTCTTCATAGCTTTGTCATGCATTTCATCAATTTAAACTCATGTCAGAAAAAACTCTGATTTGAACAACCTATTTTTGCGGTTCATAAATTAATTTTTGAAAGCTCATTACACATATTACAAAAGAAAAAAAAGAAAGATTCAGCACAAATGGGGCACTCACCTTCATCATTCTGTCGATTTGTCGTCGTTTCGTCAGGGAGAACTGGTCAACAACTGAATGAAGAACTGTGAAGTTCCCTCCGTATTTAAATTGTTCGGTGAAAATAAAGAGACAATGCGATTCCATTGAGGTAATCCTACAGGCTTCTGATATCCTCAACGTAGCAGCTTAGAGATTATCTGCATCATCCTAATGCTCCAGTCTGTCCATATAAGTCAATGATCAAAAGGAGTGGACACTTTTATGACAGATTAAAAGGCCAATTTGGTCCACAGGGGTGCTTTTATTTACCGGTTCACGTCGACCATCCATGGGTAATAGGCGAGATTAGCGGTCAAATGTGCGTATACAAGTATCTGCATGATTGTTAAAACGGTTTGACGTTTCGTCTGAAATAGTTCTCCCCCCAAAAAAATTAGATTACAGAAACGTTCAAAGATACATCTTATTCCATATCAGGTATAATTAAGTAATCATTTTAACAATGCGTCTAAACCGTCTGTACCTGTATGCACGTGCTACAATCATAATCGTCAGTGTAGATTCAGCGGTAAAGTCGGGAGGAGGGTTGATGTTGCGTTAACATAAGTTTTTGTCCGATCAATACAATATTGTTGCAATATGACTTGTATGACGTTTAGTTAGTGGGTGCTTTCACCCGTTTGTATAATGTGACCCTTTGACAAATGTAAACGCAGGTTGTTTAAATAAAGCGTGTCAATAGATGAATGCTACAAATATGTGTGTATTAGTGATATTTGTTATTAAAACCGTAATCACATTATGATTGAAAAGGAACATACGGGTGCTCTTGTCTTCATCAACGTCCTGACAGTGATAATGCAATAGCCGTTACTATTTGTGCAATAAACTGTGTTTTAAACTTATCACTTTGAAGTACTCATTGATGTCAATGTAATGAATCGAGTTGACTTTTGCTTCGCTGCATAACGATCATTTTTACAGGATAACCTCAATTACAATCGTTGAATATAGCGATGATGTTAAAAGGAATTCACTTTTTTAGAGGACTGTAGGACCGTTACGGTATAGCATCTGGGCATAATTTGAAATTAATGTATTCCCGGAGAATCATATGTCAGTATAATCCCGATATGCCTGGTCGCAAATTCTTAAAAAATGCCCAGGAAATAATTTAATGCAGGAAACACACCAAGAATGACCTGTCATTTGGTGTAATCATTCTGCTATAACATTTATATCATAGTTCTTTTCCATATATTTTTACACAATTATTGTTTATGATAGATAAACATAGCAAAAAAAGACATTGTGCACAAGGGTTAACTATTGCGATAATAATAATTATTGAAGCTCATAATTTTGAAAAATGACTCTCTCATAACGCACGCGCCAGTACACAGAAAGCACCGTGAGCAACAGTTGGATTGACATTGCCAATCATGCATGAAGGCGCGGTTAGCGTTTAAATGTATGCTTACTTTGAGAAAGTGCAGATTCAAACATCGACGCAATATAGGCGCTTGCAAAATGCCCAAAAGCAATTGGGAAAACGACCAATGACCATAAACAAAAAATGTCTTTGTTTTTTCAGCGTCATCTGTTATATATTAGATATAAGCAAGAATATAAAGAGGAACAAACCACTATCAATAAGGCTATTTGAATGGAGGACGACTTCACCTTTCCAATAGTCAACTTTCCCTAAGTATGGCAGTATGTATGTGTGTATATGGTGTGAGTGTTTGTGTTGGTGAATGTGTATGTACATGTGTTGGGCTTCTAATATAGTCGTTATCGAACAATTGACTCTGGTTTGTGCAGAGATTTCTTATGATTGTGGTGACATTCTTGAACAATGTTGACAATGACGTCCCATCTGGGCGAAGTGTGAAATCAGCATATGTTTTACACAAATGGAAGGAGATATTCGGAAATAACTTAGAATTTCCCAAACTGTAACTGGTATTAGTTTCTAGTTATAGTTGTATGATAATAATGAAGGAATTCGAACACATTGTAACCGGTAATGAGGTATGGCAGTAGATGTTATGACTGCCACCGATCAGGAAGGACGTTAGGGGTAAGATTGGAAATTTTGAAGTTGACGTGTTTGTATAAGTAGTGCGTAACATCGCCAGGATATGTCAAACATTCATTCACTCGACTAGGCATACTGCGTATGATTCTTCCAATGGCGATTTGAAGGAGTCTGTCCCACTCCTCTTGCAGCACCTGGCCAAGTTCAGTTAACTTGGTTGGCGGCCTATGACGCGCACGTCTCCCTATCATGTCCCAATGGGTGACAGGTCTTGGCCCATTGGTGAGCAAGGGTGGTGTCTCCGTGAAAGACAACACGTCGACCCACACGTTTTGCAACGGGACAACAAAGGGTGTCAGAAGGTTGTGCCGATGGGACCGTTCCGTGATCCTTCCTTGCACAATATGGAGTGGGGTTAACTCAGTCATAGTAATGCCACCCCATACCATAACCTTTCCACCGCCGAATCTGTCATGAGCTTGACGTTCATATCGACGTCGCCTCAGTCGACCACGCCTTTGAAGGAAGTGCAAAGTGAATCGGGATTCATCTGAAAACAAGACACGTGACTAGTGACGATTACTCCAGTTTCGACGATGTGTACACTAAAGACAAAGTTTATGCATACCAACTTCAGACAATCTTTAATTACTGAAAAGGCGACGTTTCGGTATTGATCCTTATACCGTTGTCAAGCAAGACTAAACACACCGTCACAATGGCTAGACTGGAGCCTAGTGGAATAATATAATTATGCATATATTCGACCAACCGAACATAGGCAAACCTTGTGTTTATGGTCTGGTGAACACATGTCCTTGGTCGTTCATGAACGCAAGTCAGCATTTCAGGCATAACGTGATCAGAACATGTCCTGCATTAAAAACGATATATTCAAAAAGGTCAACGATGGATGGCACAGTACAACTATTTTGTGAACATTTAAAAGAGGATACAATTACTAAACAACACAACATAAAATCGGGCTATAGCAAAAGTTAGGCCACCATACAAGGGACCGTGGGACTTACGGTACCTCTGCTACCCCAGCAGGATTTACACCATCCTTAGTTTGCAAGTTTAGCCAAAACATTAAAATGTCAAATATACCACGTTTAAGACGGTATCTTCCCATTATGAACTACTGTTTCATTTTTTCATGGTTCAGTGATTGCAAAGTACTACCTACTACTGTTTCTGGTTATAGGCCGGGAAAGCCATATTTGAAGAGCAGAGAGTCCTGGAAACGCCAAACACATAATTCTATTGTTGGTCTTGGTTTGTTGGTTAACGTCGCGCACAGCAATATCCAAGCTATATAACAGTGGTCTCAAAATAACCGAGTCTGGACCAGTCAATCCAGTGATTGACATCTTGAGCATCGATCTTCGCAATTAGGATACGATGACACGTATCAACCAAGTCAGCGTGCCTGACCATTCGACCCCCTTAGTAGCCTGTTACGACAAACATTGGTTGCTGAAGACCAATTCTAACAAATTCAATATTGCCAACCCGACTCGATGTGACATTTTAACTAACTCACTCGTTCTAAAAAGAAGGTGCGGTCGAGTAGCCTAGTGGTTAAAGCGTTCGCTCGTCACGCCGAAGACCCGGGTTCGATTCCCGACATGGGTACAATGTGTGAAGCTCATTTCTAGGTCCCCCGCCGTAATATTGCTGGAATATTGCTAAAAGCGGCGTAAAACCATACTCACTCACTTCGAACGGTATCGTCCTCATTCATGTCAATACACTATGCCTGCCAAACAAGATTAAGTGTTTGTAATAGTTTGTGAGGTGCACCCTACAGTAACAAATCATACCATGCCCTGGCAGGACTACAAGAAGTCGAATATGTTCCATCCCGTAGAGGTACCCACGGTTCTGAGCTGAGCAGACATATTTGTACTGAGATGTTTTGACTTTGTTAGATACGGTTTTTATTAATTTTGTGTAATTTAAATTGTTATATCAACATGCTGGTACAGAAATGAAAAGTTTATACATACACACACATACGAGTATATATATATACACACATACAGATTTACACTTATTCGCGTACATATAGATTACTACACGAGTGCAGTAATCTGTTTCTTACACACCCTAAAATCGCACCTTTTTATCATCGAATGGATGCATTTTGTCTATTCTCATGATCGCACTAGCGCATTCATACATAACACCACTGTCATAAGTGACGTCATCCTATGTACTGCTTACTACTTATAAATGATTGAGTGTACACAAAAAAAGGTTTCCGCCATACCTGTGGATTATCAAGGCGGTGATGATAATGCAAACTAGATAAAAACAAAGATCACGCCGAGATAAAAAAAACTTTACACCTAAAAAAATTTACCAAATATGTACAACAATGTTTACTTCCGTATGACATCACTACCGGTGACCGACTTTTACAAAATGGCGTGTTCACTGACAACAGTACGCAGGATTTCCAGAGGAGGATTTTCGTTGATTGAGGGATCGTATATACATAAATTGTCACGTAAGTAATCAGAAAGATTCTGACAATCTGCGTACTGTTATTTGTTTACCATGTTCTTCAATGTAACAAAGAGAATTAGTCAGAAATGCAGATAACAACCGTCGTCGTTGTGCGTGATTTAGCGTCAGTCATGGCGTCACACAGGACGGAAACTTTTACGGTTTCTGTTGAATTTACCACATCATTGTTATGCATATATTTGAAAATTCAATAGTTAGTGCAACGAATATTCTCAAACGCGTGATCAAGTCAATGTAAGCAACAATTAGACGAAAGTACCTCTAAAAATGCTACATAGTCCTAACTCTGAATGTTGCTTTGTTTACATTTCGTTTCCACACCTAATTTATTTCGCATGATTTCATCTTGATAATTTGCATTGGTGACAAACACCTTTTGTCATTTGTTTCTAAAATGTATGAGGAATTCAGGGATGCACGTTTTGCAGCTGAGTTTGAAATATACCTGATTGAATAGGCGTCTTATAACCGGCATTTTGAAAACACAATCCAATATGGCGGAACGTC